GCTTCAGAGTCTGTGTACTGTGCTGAGCTTCTTCGGACTCAGACTTGAGTTAGAAGAAGAACGGAGCACTTATGGGTTACACCCTTGTGACATAATGTTGATCCTTTGTTTAAACCTCATTTATCCCGATTCTCACATTCTTTTCAATCATGGTGTCTTCTATCATAGCCATCGCTGCTAACCTTCACAGTACTCCTACGATAATCATTCACACTACGTCAAGTCCACTTCAATGAAACTACTGTGCTGGGCTTCTTCGGACTCAAGACTTGAGTTGGAAGAAGAAGTTAGGACTTATGGTTTACACCTGTGTGCCATGATGTTGATCCGTTGTTCAAACCTCAAACACCGACCACTTTTACTTAGCCCGTCTCTCTGGCGCAGTTGGCTAAACCGGATTGCGCGGTGAGCGGGGGACGAACTCCTTGTGGTCCGGGTTCACTCCCGGGGGCGGCAGAAAAGCCACATTTCTCCCAGATTTACGGTATTTCAAATGGAATCAATGCCGAAAGGTTGCGATATCCATAATACTGAGTCATGGCTTCTGGATACTAAAACAAACAAACAAACAAACAAACCACTTTTACTTCCCAAGATCTCACCTGTTAACATATTCTAGACTGAGTTGACCTGAGATTCCCCCCCCCCCCCTCTTTTTTTTTTCCTCCCCCGTTAGTGCGGGATTGAAACCTTTACATTAGTTTCCCAATCTCCCAGCATGCCATAGCTAGCAGATTGTCGATGTGAAAGGAATCATGAATCGGGAATGCATATCAGATATCTTTCACTCCGGCCGCTTCTACTGAATCGATGAGATTCTCAACGGAGCAGAGCCCGGGCAATGGAGGGGTCACACTAATAATATGGCTATCGATCTGCTTGGGCTCGCCGTCGCAAGCTTTTCCATTGTATAACACATCATGTCTGCTTCTCGGCTCGGAAAGAAAGTTCGGAAGCTTTATACATACACTTTTGTGACGTTAGGGTGCTAGCTGGATTCGTTTTTCATCATCCATCATGCTGTTGTGCAACTGTATGTCACATAGGGCTCACAGTCTATGTCTCAATTCTGTTGTATCCTGTGCAATCACCTCGATATCACGGAATCCAGTCTAGGACTTTCGGGCTCACTCTCTTGTGAGTGTTCGCCTTAGGCGTTGCTTAGACCAGTGGCTCTCAACCTTCCTAATGTCACGACCCTTTCATACAGTTCCTTCATGTTTTGGCGAGCCACACGCAATTATTTTCTTTCATAACGTCAATGAATATGTGTTTTCCGATGGTCTTAGGTGACCTATGCGAAAGAGCCATGCGACCCCCCTCCACCCCCCCCCCCCCCAAAGAGTCTCGACAGGTAGAGAACCACCGTCTTAGAGGCATTCAGTTAATCTATTTCCCATTTCAGTATCTGTTTGGTGATTCTCTGCTTGTCTCTTCTGAGAATGTATCCAATATAGCGCACATCCTTCTGTCTTATAACTGTTGATACTAATGATTGCCCAGACATTGCAGTTATCTTCTCCAGTTATACTGTCTTTATTAAACCACTTTTACGGTGAAAAAAAAAAGGGGGGGGGGGGTCTTTGAGCCTGAGGATTTACGGCCGCATGGCTAGTGCTGTCGCCACCACTGTGTAAGTGAGCATTTTATTTTGCCCCCGACAGGAAAATCCCCAACTTTACCGAGGATTCGAACTCGGGTCTCCCGCTTGAGAGCCCAGGGTTCTAACCGTTCGGCTAGCCGCTCCTAATTTCTCTTTTCACGGTAGTAAAATCTAGAGCCAGTAGAGGGAGGGGTGGGATTCATTGGGATGACATAATTACTAATGCAGAGTTTCGGGAGAGCACTAAACAAACTCAAGTGAATCGACATCTGAAGAAAAGATGCTGGTGTTGGATAAGACACACACTGAGATAACCTGAGAAAAAATAACTAGAATGTCTTTGCACTGGAACCCACAAGGGGATAGAAATAAAGGAAGACCCGAAAAAATGGAGCTAAAAAGTGAAGTTAAAAGGGTGGTTATGACAATAGGGTGAGCTGTTCAATAGTAACGGATCGGACGACTTTACGTGATGTAGTTGTGGGTCTATGCTCCATTGGGGGATCAAGGGCAGAAGAAGACAGTAGAAAATCAAGTACAGAGGTTCTGAAGAGACTAAGAAGGAAAAGGCAGTTTCTGGGGTAATTAACAAAAGAAAAGAATGAGGAAGAAGATAAATGTCAAGACACGAGTCGAATATTTGTTAGCTCCTTTCCGTCTTTCACTGCTTCGAGCAGACTGGCAAGCTTCACTTGCAAGGTCACGGGTAGTGAACATACCTTGGATCTTTTCACCAGGCTATACCGCTGTGGTGGGTAATGAAACAGTCAGACAGATTGGCTGGATCTGCACCGCTGGGTGGTAAATTGATACCACCAACAAGTAACGAAGTCAGAAGAGAGACTAGATTATTATGGGCTGGAGAAAATGATGCACTTGGGTGTAACCAGAGAGTTCGGCTGGCACACTACGCTCAGGGGAAAGGCAAGACGGACATACAACCAGACTACGACTGACACCATTAGTATTGGAACTCTGCGCTGGCTGCTGAGGATCATGGCGGAGAGCGTTTGGGAATACCCAAAGTGCTGTGATGTCAATTCGTGACTCAACTCAACCGTCTTTCGCTAAAGGTTAGTTGCGTATCCTTCACAGGGCGTTGCAGAACCAACCCTAACAGCCCCTGGCTGTTGTGTGGTTTCTCTAGGCAAATTTACGTCCAGTAGTTTGCATTGCTTCTGGACGGTCGGCTTTTTATTCCACTGTCGAAACCAGGCGCGTGGCTCGCAGCTGGGATCGAACCCGGCATCCCGGCATTAAGAAGCGTTCACATCGAAATATAAAGGGTGATTTGGTCAGATGATTGGGATGGAGTCAAATCAGCCGGCAACTAGAGCGTACTACATTGGAACAGCATTTTTAAGAGGTTGACCAAGAAAGATATGGGTGGAGTGAGTTAAAGAAACATTACCGGAGCTTAATATGACATTACCACAAGTTAGACAACGAGCACAAGACAGGAAACTACATCCAACTCCTCTCTATGTTGCTTCACAGCGCAAGTAGCATAATGAAAGAAAAGAAGGAGATGGCAACCCGCCAGAAACACCAGAAAAAGTCAGTCATCCATTTCTGACCCATACAAAAACTAGACAGGTTTATAGAAAGAGGGATTGAGGAAAACAGCAAATATGATTCTTGATAGCCATGTCATGGATAGCTGTCAGCGCAATAATTGGTATATTCTACATAAGACGACTGTTAGTTAGTTAGTTAGTTAGTTAGTTAGTTAGTTAGTTAGTTAGTTAGTTAGTTAGTTAGTTAGTTAGTTAGTTAGTTAGTTAGTTAGTTAGTTAGTTAGTTAGTTAGTTGTTAGTTAGTTGTTAGTTAGATAGTTAGTTAGTTAGTTAGTTAGTTAGTTAGTTAGTTAGTTAGTTAGTTAGTTAGTTAGTTAGTTAGTTAGTTAGTTAGTTAGTTAGTTAGTTAGTTAGTTAGTTAGTTAGTTAGTTAGTTAGTTAGTTAGTTAGTTGTTAGTTAGTTAGTTAGTTGTTAGTTAGTTAGTTGTTAGTTAGTTAGTTAGTTAGTTAGTTAGTTAGTTAGTTAGTTAGTTAGTTAGTTAGTTAGTTAGTTAGTTAGTTAGTTAGTTAGTTAGTTAGTTAGTTAGTTAGTTAGTTAGTTTAGTTAGTTAGTTAGTTAGTTAGTTAGTTAGTTAGTTAGTTTAGTTGTTAGTTAGTTAGTAGTTAGTTAGTAGTTAGTTAGTTAGTTAGTTAGTTAGTTAGTTAGTTAGTTAGTTAGTTAGTTAGTTAGTTAGTTGTTAGTTAGTTAGTTAGTTAGTTAGTTAGTTAGTTAGTTAGTTAGTTAGTTAGTTAGTTAGTTAGTTAGCTAGTTGCTAGTTAGTTAGTTAGTTAGTTAGTTAGTTAGTTAGTTGTTAGTTAGTTGTTAGTTAGTTAGTTAGTTAGTTAGTTAGTTAGTTGTTAGTTAGTTAGTTAGTTAGTTAGTTAGTTAGTTAGTTAGTTAGTTAGTTAGTTAGTTAGTTAGTTAGTTAGTTAGTTAGCTGTTAGTTAGTTAGTTAGTTAGTTAGTTAGTTAGTTAGTTAGTTAGTTAGTTAGTTAGTTAGTTAGTTAGTTAGTTAGTTAGTTAGTTAGTTAGTTAGTTAGTTAGTTGGTTTATCATCATTGTACTCTAGACATATCCATAGGTGCTCAGAACTTCCCCTTAGTATGAACCCCAATGTCTGATGGCTAATAGTACGTTCTAAGTTGATTAACAAGTCGTCTGGTGTACGTCTCGTTTTTTGCTATGCCGATCTTAATTCCCAAGTCTGCCATTCTGGCAAGTGACTGTGGATTCACTGCCCCCAAAGTCCTCTATCCTTCCCTATTCTCTGGGGCATTATTATTATCAGCATAATCCATAGGCTGACCGTCAGTAGTGATAGCGGATCCAGCCAACCTATCAGCTCTTTCATTTCCATCGAATAAGATGGAATATGACGGCTGTTTGCAATGGCTGATGTATAATCGTCGGCTCTGTTAGAGAAGGCACTTAGTGATGTTGATAATGTTGATGATTAACATTATGATAATGATGATGGTGATTAAAATGATGAGTGTGATGATAGAAATTGTCGTAAATCTGTGCACTTTGGAATCGATGTCATGATAGCAGGAAATGACGCGCGTTTCAATATGGCGAACATCAAGGACACGCAGTCATGTAATTAAGAATTTACTAACTCTTTTAAATATACTGTGAACATCTGCGCTTAAAATGCCACTTCGCGACTTCTAAACAATTATAAAATAGAAGTGGCTACATTTCTGTAAACAGATACGTGCGTGTGTAAAGGAGAAGTAAACTGTTCCAAAACGATTTCTGCAAAAGGTAACTTTCTCGTGTCGTGTTATGATCAACAAATACAGGCTTCTTGAAGTTATCACATAACTTTATCTTTAACATGCAGAACTACCAACAATTTTTGGCTCTGCCTACGTTTCATCAACTACCTCCTTTAGCTTCACCAGCACACCCGCAACCAATCGCATCCTCCGTTCTCGCATTTGGAGAGACGCAACTTGGAGGAGGAGGATTTCATGGAGGTTGTAGTTTACCCGCTACAGGGTTTGTTTCAGTTAAACCACCGACATCGCTTGTCTATCAAATACACCCTCGGAATTATACGTACGGATTCAACAGTTCGGGAAAACTAATCGGTGCCAATCCTGAAATACCCTATCCAGGTTCTGGAGCGAAATTCCACGATGTTCCCTTTTCCAGGTCTGTTGACTGGTACGCTTCAGATCTGATAGGAAACTCGAACATCAAGGAAGTGATAAAGATGAGGGATGCCTGCCAAGGAAAGGAAGCACCAGAAAAACCATCAGAAACTGATGAATATTTCACAGCCGCCAACGACGAGGGCTATAAACAGTGGATTGAAAAGAAAAAGGAAGAACAGCAGAAGCAGAACGAGAAGCAGAAACAAATCAGGACTGTGCCGGTGGAAATCAAAGCATTACCAGGTCACGTGAATCCGTCAGTCACAGAGACCAGTAATGAACGATACGGCCAGTATTTGGACCTCAGACCAAAGTACCCGGCAGTCTACCCTCTTCCTGCTAAAGTTCCTCCAATGCCAATGCAAGTTTTGGTGAAGTTCCGCCATTCCAACATATCTGGTCACCCACCAATACCTGATCATTCATTTGCTGTAGACCCTAGAGAAATGATCACCAAAGAAGGTTGCTACACCAGGGGAATCCACGGATCGGTATTTTACCCCGAAGTGTCCAATCCCAACACAAAAACAGCATTCACTTTTCGCCCCAACCAGACAATCTTGGGTCAGACTGTTGGAGAAAGGCAGAAGGGTTTCACTTGGCCACTCTACGCACCGACAGGGCTTGAACTCAACCGCCCTATCCCACAGTGCGTGTCAGTTGTTGTCGGCGTTAACGGCAAAAAGAAATTCCGTACAATGATCCCTCCCAGAGCTGTTCCCTACATATACAACCGTTATATGTCTTACACTGGGATCCCTAGCGATGATCCCGAAACAGAGCTGAACCCAGCGAAACAACATAAACAGATCTGCATTCCATTCACGCCAGTCTCTGTCAGCAACCCTGTGTGTGATCCATGTAACTTGAAATTTATTAATCCACAGCTACTTCCGCTTCCGCTTGAACTCAAGAAACCGCCATCTTGTTGACTGTGTATTGCCACAGAATTCGCTGTTTAAAAAAAAAAATCGTACTAAACTGGTTTCTTCAGGGATACTTTTGAGCGTCTTTTTGGGTATATGAATTTCTCTCTTGTGAAAAATATTGCAAGATTAATGTTTGCGAAGTATAAAATCTACTCGAATCAGTCTTCTAATTCTTTTTAACGTTTACAGGCTGTAAAGTCAGACCTAAACTCCGGGTTACTCTTCCGATACTGAACTGTGGTCTTGGTCCACTTCTGCACGCACATCGTTTACCAGATCTGATTTATTTATATGCAGACTCTTGGTCCCTTCACACTGGCTCGCCAGTAGATAACTTCGTCGGGACAGTGTTTGGGGTCTGTCTCCTTCGATCAAATCAACACTGCACGAGTTCTTTTAAGGGCTCTTGCTAGCTAAACCATTTTATATGGCGCAAATAACCTACAATTATAACCGAAATCTTACCCTTCGGGGATGCTGACTGATTTTTTAAATTTTTGGTCAGTAAAGAAATGCAAGGCAAGAAAAAATGGAAAAACAGAAGTAATAGTAATTTCCAAGAAAAAAAATTAGAAGTAGTAGAACATTTCATCCCATAAGGACATCATACAAGCGATAAACACCCGATGACCCAAAATGCCACCAAGTGGATGAGGATCACCCGTGGAGATGTCACGGAAACCGCTTTCAGTCATTAGGCCATATTTATGGCCGGGCTATATTTAGGGGCACACGCAGGACGACTAGTAGAATATCCACGCAGCCGCCCGCTGTCGTCTCATATCCCAGACAAGTTTGCCACCAAAGTGGAAATAATTGGTTGCAGCAACAAAGAAAGGTACGTAACCAAGAAGGAATTGGCTTTGTTAGTTTAGAAATAGAACGGTTACAGCCCCTTATCATTTCAAGTGGCCTGAGTTTGGCTTCAAAATAACGAAAAATTGCATCCCACATGGGAACTACTAGTAGTAACCCTAGAAAAAAAAAAAAAAACACCTAAATGTTAAATTAAAAGTCAAAGGCGTATCTTTAGGACATGTACAGAAATTGAAGTATCTAGGCATGTGGAGACTTTTTAACAGAAATCAAAGGGATGATGGCCATAACATGTAAAAATTATGCAACATAAAAAGAATCGATGGTTAAGCACCAGCAAGGATCAGAAAAAAACTGTCAAACTGTCAAACCGGTACTAAATATCCTTACTTTAGGACGTATGTTTTTGTTATTTGAAGCCCCACTCTGGCTTTTGCCAGGGGCCGCAATATAGGCAGGCCATCAATATGCCAATTGTCTGAACGCGGTTTCTGCGACCTCTCCACGGTGATCCTCATCCGCATGGTGGCACTTTGTGTCATCGGGTGTTTATCGCTTGGGTGATGTCCTGGTGGGTTAGAAAGTCAGTCAGTCCAAAAAAAATGTGAGCATGCATCTTCCCTATAGCAACACACGGGTGTGACTCGCGTATCATCTCTCCTTAAGAATAGAGTCGTTACCCGTAGGATGCATTTTTTTTTTAAATTTTAAAACCCCACCCTGGCTTCTGACAAGGGCTCTGAATATAGCCAGGTCTTAAATATGGCTAAGCCATAGATATGGCTTAACGGCTGAAAGGGGTTTATGGGACCACATCACGGGTGATCCTCATCCGCATGGTGGCACTTTGTGTCACCGGGTGTTTATCGCTTGTGTGATGTCCTGGTGGGGGTACAATCATCCACCTACCCCTTAAGAATGAAAATAGAGACTTTTGGGTTGCAGAAATGCTATAGTAAGATTTTCGGAATATCTTGGATAAAGAAAAGAAGGAATACTGACATTTTAAAAGATCTAGACATCAAGGAAGATTGGCTCATAAACAGCATCTAGTCTCAGAAGCTGAAATATTTTGGTCATGGTGAATTATAAAAAAAAAAGTAGCAGAATGCATGGTATCAGGAAGGAGGAGCAAGGGCCGACCAACACGAAGATCAGCACAGGATATTAGTGACTTCTTGTATATGAAAGTATACGGGACGGGAGAGCTGGGGAGAGTTTCTTTCAGGGAGACCGTGATGAGAACGACGTTTCGCAAAGGACCTGCTACTTGATGATGAGGATAATGATGATGATGATGATGATGATGATGATGATGATGAGGCACATGGATAATATCCTATGGGAGATGTATCACATAGATAAGAAACAGAATAAGACCACCCAAATTGCATTTGATAAAATCAAGAACATTTTATGGAATAATTCCATGTCATTGGAGGTAAGTAAAAGAATACTCGGAAGCTATATAGAGCCAGTTTTAACATACGGCTGTTAATATTGGACGATAAGATATAATAAACAGGTCAAGCTATTTCCTGACGCCTCAGAAATGTAGTTTTACAGAAAAATCCGTATAACTTTCTGGACAGCTGAAAAGAGCAACCAAGATGTTTTGAATAAGGCGACGGTTCGAGACAACTTATCACAAACATCAGAAAGAGACATCATGTTTCTAGTTGTGTTGTTGTTTTACTGGGCACTCTGTGTGTGTCATAGCTTCGGCTCTCTACGGTCATCTCTCGACACTAATGTCGAAATCAACGCAATGTAGTCTGCAGGCAGATCGCTTGCAGCTGGAATCGAACCGTGTACTTCAGAATAACGAAGCGATTTGGTTTTGGAATACGAGCGAACTTTTGTGGAGCGAGACATTTAGGGCAACCGGACAATAATTTTGACAAACTTTTATAAATAGTATAGCACATGAATTGAAACACCCCTAGAGGATTGCAACATGTGTAGCAACATGATCGCCTTTTCGGCAAGACTTTTGTTAAAGATGAATAAAAAAAAGTTAACAAGTGACCATTTCTCTGTGCTTGGCCCATCCTGTAAAATGATTTTAGACAAATACTTTTAATCGAGACATGTGCGTGAACGTCACGCCGGCCGCCTTTACTTTCCATGACACGCCCTAGTGCCCAGTTTAGGCTGGATCGATCTGAGAGACGAATAAGTTCTGAAAAATCGTCTAGAAGCTATGATCTTCAGACCAACAGGCAAGTTATCAGGACACCCATTATCAGTTGCTCAGTGAGCAGCCATTTCTTCTAAGGCAGTTGTGGGATGCCTGTCCAGACATCTTCTACAGGTTATCAGAAAAACAACGCTTGCTTGCCTGGGAATGATCGATCAGTGTATATCCTCCCGGCGGCTACTCTAGTTTCTATTATACCATTCTGATATTTAAAAAATTGTAATCCGAACAGTAGACTAAAAAAAAAACACACACAGGCAGATCCGTGATACCATCCCACCCCCCCCCCCCCCCCGGTCATAATTTGAGCACCTGTAACAGCTGCAATGGCCAGGTACTTTCGTGTTCAGGCGGACAATGTTTGCTCTTAGCCGCCGTTTTGTTTAGCTGTGACCACACTCCACACCCTTGGGGAGCGAGTGAACAGTGCGGAGGCAAAAAATAGATCATTACGGTCTGGGGATTTAATTTGATTTGATGTGATTTGATTCAAGAACCGACATCACAGCACCTTCAGCAGCCAGCGAAGAGTTCTGATGCTAATGGTGCCAGTAGCATTCTGATTAAACGTCCGTCTTGCCTTTCCTCTGAGTCTCGAGCATCTGCCAGAACCTCTCGTCACTCCTCGTGGCATCAATCTCACCAGACTGTGGTGATCCATCTGCTCCTCCGAACTGTACACGCTCTCCCACAAGGCACTAACCACGTCTGCCTTATCATGTATCAGTATTCCACCAAGTTGTGCAGAGCCAACCAGTCTGTCCGCGTGTTCATTTCCCAACACACCGATCTAAGGAGAATAGTGCTGAGGGGAGTTCCCAAGGAATCTGGCCGACGCTCAACACTCAGGGGGAAAGGTGAAATGGATGTACAATCAGACAGTTACTGATGCCATTTGAATTGGAACTCCTCGCTTGCTGCTGAAGATGGGGATGGAGCGCGTATGAGGGTGTACGAGTGCTATGATGTCGATTCCTAATTCCGTCTTCAACTCCCCCATACACTCTGGGACCACCTTTTTTTTTTTTCTTGAGATATTCCACACAATTTGTTGACATCAAAGTAATAAAATATAGATATAGACGACCAGTAAACATTACTACACCTTTATGAACCAGTCATTTTGTGTGGAAATATTTCTCTACATAGATTCATTAATTTCCTCCGTGAATTTTGATTTGTTACAAATTTCTCAAATTTGGTATTTACCTTTACATTTCTTTCACTTTTGGGGGGCAAAGTACTCTCGCAATTTTTCATTCGTTTTCTCCATGCGCGCTCTTTAATTTTGTTGATCATAGTTTTGATCAGATAAATTTTAAAATGTTTATTTACTGTTTCTAAATAATCCATTTTGTGGACGAAATGCGAATTGTCAAATTATGATAGAGTTAATGCGATGTTGTCTGCTAGATCGCTTGTTTTATGAGTTGTTGAGTTCGTAAATTCTATAAATTTAGATATATTTGATCTATTATTTGTGTTGTGTTACCAGAGTAGTTATTATGTCTTGTTGCGTTAAGGTTTTCTTGATTATATGTTATTTTACGAAATGAAAAACCTGAGTTGTTTTCGATTCTATTCCATCATGTGGTATCATCTCCAGCGTAATCGTCACCTGATGAAGCTTACACATGCGAATTGATCACGTCGCGCCACTAAGTGGAACCGATATCAAAATGTGACTACAACATACCTAGGAGGCTGAGAGAATGGGAAAGGAAAGAAGCAATCGTCGTTTGAAATGTAATTAATACAGTGAGGGTTTGAACCTCATCGCTGACGGGTCACACTATAAGTGCCCTGCTCCTGTACCAGCGTCAATATCACAGAATGCTCATGGCTGTCCTATATGAAAAATTAGACAGCAGTTCAGTCGAAAACCAACAGCTTGCACACCCATCAAAAGAATAATGCAGCCGCCAGAGGTTGCAACACCTACAGTCTGTCACCAGAATTGCTATTTATAGTTTAAGGTAGCAGCAGT